CTAATGAGAATGAGACTAATGAGACTGAGTCTAATGAGACTAATGACTAAAATGAGTCTAATGAGACTAATGAGTCTAATGAGACTAATGAGTCTGAGTCTAATGAGACTAATGACTAGAATGAGTCTAATGAGACTAATGAGTCTAACGAGTTGTGGCAGAGAGCATGATGGGACAGACATGTAAAAGGCTAAATGATGTGATAATGTCTTGATGAATAAATGTTACTTCACACTAAGTCTTTATTTGTTCATCTCAATTCTCGTTTCATTTTCTTCACTATTTGAATTAAATCATTTAATTGTAAATTCAGCTTATATAAGTTGAAATGTTCAGTATTGATTATGTTTTCAGTTAGAAGTTCCTGGAAAAAGACTAATTATATTCAAATGTCCGGCTGCAGATTATAATCTGATATTCCATTAGGTGGAAATAGTTCAGAATTCCTTTCAAACAAATTCAACTGACATTTTTATATATTTACATTTACTCGAGTACACAAGGACTACCACAAAGCACACATGTACTTTTACTATCAGAATATTTAGCTGCTCATTGTAAAGGTACTTTTACTTCTTCATTCAGTGACTAAATAAAAACCTGTTTAACTAAAAAGGCATTAATGAGTCCTAAAGTTTAACATGTCTCTGAACACATCAGATTGTTTCTATATGTTAATATGTTCAGTGCAAAATCAAATGTGTAACAACATAATGAAGATGAAGGACACTTTAATAACAGAATAAGTCACGTTGTACATCAAAGGCAACATGTTTTACGTTACTGGAATACAAGAAGTGATTTGATTCGTTAAAGGACATTTTAACAACTTCTCTCAACATTTGACATTTTATAGACCAAAAGATTTAGAAATGTTTCTCCTGATCCTCTCAGATCTTTATCCGTTTATTTAGAAGCTTCATGAGTCACTTTCTAAAATAGACATTATGTAACTCGGTGAGTTCTGTCGTATTAAAACACAGAATATTTACAGCTGATGTAGAGAAACAACGTTCAGTCGTCAGCATATTAAAAAGGTTTGGTGTTGATTCAACTTTAGTTGAGTTGAATTTGCAGATTTTCATTAATAGCAGCTATTTTAATAACCGATTGTTTCTGGAACAACACGAGTCTTTGTCTCACGATCGTAAACTGAATGTTGAAGAAGTCCGACTCTGTTCTGGTGTGATTCATGATAATAATAATAATAATAATAATAATAACGACGACGACAGGGACTCTAATCTATCCTCACTTCGATGTCAACAGGCTTCAGTTTTTGGACGAACACGACGTCGTTGCTGCCGTCGTTGAGGTCCGGCTCTCTGAAGTCGTCCTCCGGCTCGTCTTTACAGACGACCTGCGAGGACTCGGAGATCTGGATGGGCAACTCGATGGCTCGGTTCAGGTAATCTCCCCTTCGGCCGTTCTTTCCCGCTATGGCGACGACCTGCGATGCGACGGCCCAGGCGAACTCCACCTTCCGATGTTTCTGAGAGCTCAGATCGAAGTTGTACTCCAGAATCTCATACAGAGCCGGAACATATCGGTTGCAGTTCTGCTCCACATACCGGTGCATCTCAAAGAGGACCGCCCTCGTCAGCACTCGCAGGTCCAGTTTGGGTTTGGCTTCTCGTTTGAAGCCGACGTCGAGGTCCAATCCGATTCGTTCGCAGATGCGATAGCCGTTGACCTTTTCCTTCTCCGTTTCCACATCTCCGTTGAGAACCTCAGTTTCCGACACCTGATCCTCCGAGCTGTTGGCGGCGAGTGGTTGAGGATCGAGCGTCGAGTGACCGCTCAGTGGGACGACCGTGTTCAACCACAGGTTCACCGTCAGCGATGTGTGCTGCCTCTGCATCAAGCTTTTCTGGGTGGCGTACCATCTGTGGATCACCTGCGAGGCTTCCGTCGCTCCGCTCTGCAGATCCACATCGAAGTTGTGCTCCAGGAGGTCGTTGACCGTCTCACAGATGGAACCGCACAACTCTCTGACGAAGGCGAACACTTCGAGCACGGCGCCGGTGGTCAGGACCGTCAGATCGAGCTTCTGGCTCGCTGGACGTTCTTCCATCGACCAAAGATCGAGGTTGATCTTCTTACAGAACGGATGTGGCTCCTGGCTCGCCAAGTCCATCCGCTGTTGCGCCGTCTCAACTTCCTGTCCGGTTTGAAAATCGCTGGTCACGTCGACCATGTTGTAAGCTTCGGGGAAATGAAAGGGACTCTTGAGGAACTCTGTTTTCCATCTATCAGGGTGGCTCTGAAGGACCTTTTCTTTTGTTATCATGTAAAGTACAAAATTCCGCTGATGCACCTCATCTTGGAGGACAAGGTTGAAGTTGTTGTCCAGAATCTCAAAGAAGAAACTGCATATACTCTTCGCCATCGCAGTCGCAAATTTATAAACCTCCAACAACACGCAGTTGGTGAGTATCTGTAGATCCAGGGTTGGTCTGTTGGCCGAGGCGACGTTGAAGTCTAAACCTCTCTCTCTGCAGCGGGCAAACAAGTCGTTCACTCTGCTGGACTTCAGGATTTGTTTGGAGCGAGTCACACGTCTCTTCCAAAGCTTCTGTTTCGGTGTTTTTACGTTCGCGTCCTCGTTTTTATCTTCAGAAAACAGATCTGAGACGGCGTTCGGAGTTGTGTTCTTTGGACGAACGTGAGACGAACGAGGGCTGAGGTCAGAGATCCGAGGCGGCTCCGGGGAGACAAACACTTCCTCCTCTTCCTCCTTCACATCTTTTGTTTCTATCAGATAACTTTCAACCTTAATTTCTTCTGAATCTGACTGCATCTCCGTCTCAAATTCAACTGGACACATGTACGAGAGGTCGCCATCCTCATAAAGGTCTTTGGCGTCCTCGTCCCTAAGCCTCAGCGTCCCCCTTCTCTTACTGGCCATCGGCAGCTCTTCCGGTTGCTGGTCGTCGGGGTCACTTTTCTTTTTCCGTTTCTGGGTGAGGGCTCTAAACGCCTCCTTTCTGAAGGCGTCCTTGTGCTCGACGGTCAGGCAGGCGTACTTCCTCTCCATCAGCTTGTTCACTTGCACGCGAAACATCGTTTTGTCCAACTCGTGACCAAAGTTTTGTGCGACCAGGTCAAAGACGATCCCGGTGTATGTCCCGCAGATCAATCTGGAGAAGTCGAGCAGTTCCAGCATCGCCCCGTTGGTCACCAGGTTCGGGTTCACTTTGTCTTTGCGTACGTCGCCCGGTCGGAACAGCAGAGTCACGCCGAGGTCTTTGCAGAATGGGTACGCGTCAGTGGAGAGCTTCACCTGAACTCCTCCTCGTCTCTTTACGACGAACGCAGATCTGGTCCTCTCCGTCCTCTGGTCCTCTGCAGACGGGCCGCTCTTGCCGCCGTCAGAGAGGACAGAACTGTCCGCCAGTTTGTTCCTTTTAGGATAGTAACGTCCCGGCTGCTGGGACCCCGCGGACGCCATTATAGCGCAGAGGTCCGGAAGTGGAAACGCTTCTTTCCATCTTTGAGGTTTCAGCTTTATCTGGTCCCTCAGCAGCTTTACTTTGCTGTGCACGCGTCTGGCGTAGTCGTAGTACTGCTGGTCCTCGTCCACGTCAATGCCGATGTCGAAGTTGAACTCCAGCAATTCGAACAAGAAATACGTCTCGGACTTGGTCACCGTTTTGGCGAAGTCGCAAAGCTCCAGCATCACGCCGTTCGTCAGCATACTGATGTCCAGCTTGTCCTTCCTCTCCAACGCCGCGTTGAACTCCAAACCGATTGCAACCGACCTGGGGAACGGGACGGCGCTCTTCTGATACCGAACGCCGTGCTGGATCCGCCGCCGCCAGATGCACTCGTCGAAGCCTTCCATGTCGACAAACCGGACAGAAGCCGTTGAGTATTTGTGTCCTGAAGAAGATCTCAGGATCCAAAAGTGTCTCCCGAGTCTTTGAGACGTCTGGAGACACTTTACTCCTCAGTCTGTGAGAGAAGACACAAACCTTTAAATACTGCGGCTGTAAATATCATTAAAACATAAGAAAACAGACAAGTAGTGAGATGAGTTCACAGCCTTCGGTTCTATCAAACTGAACAGCCATGTTTTAATATCAGTTCAAAGGTCAAACTCCTGAATTATTCTCCAGTTTCAGCTTCTCGCTGTTTTAAAGTTTTACAGACAAAACGTCGACCTGGAAATCCTTCAGAATGTTCAGGTACTACTACGGTAAAGATACTTTTATCCTTAACAAATACCGTCTTTGACGTAGTATTTTGAGATATATATATATATATATATATAAAAGATACATAAAAAAACCTCATAAGGCAAACCTTTTGTCTTTTTGCATGTAAAAGATTACAGAATACGTAAACTAAACTATACTAACCGTCAGTACTACATCACAGTACTAATACACAGACAGTACTAACCAAGTATCATGAAGCCTTTTAATATCATAAATACTTTCTGTTGTGGTTTTGAGAATCCTAAATGAAGGAACACAAACATTTGTGAAGGACTGTGTCAGTAACAAGTATGAACATGTATATTAACATATATACATGTATTATGTATATTTACATTAACATATATATTTACATGTATATTAACATATATTAACATGTATATTGACATGTACATTAACATATATTAATGTGTATATTAATATGTATATTTACATGTATATTAACATATAACGTGTCTATTAATAATAACGGTGCAGAGAATATTTCTCACACAGACATGAAGAGTAGTTCAGTCCTGAAGGTTGTGAGCAGATCTCATCCTGCACCACTAGAGGTCAGTCCAACACAACATCACAGGAGGTGATGAAGGTGAAGATGATGAAGATGAAGCTGATGATGCTGAAGATGAAGCTGATGAAGCTGAGAGCACTGTAGGTTGTTGTACTAGTACTTTTACTTCAGTAAAGCATCAGAATACTTCCTCCAGCTCTGATGGATCATTTATAGAGAACACATCCGTTTGTTTGAGAACTTTAAAAACAGAGAAATGATTTATGAAATATTATAACTCTTTTTTCATTCTGCTTTTAATAATAATAATTAATAATTAAAATAATAATAATTAAAATAACTTTGCAGCTCAAAGTGCTTCATGAAATAAATGAAAAGTAACAAGAAAAAGCTTAAATGAACTCTTGAATACATTAAAATAATCTGTTCTCCTTTCAACAGCTTATTTTTATATTATTTTAATTCACACATTTAATTTACAACTATACATTTGTTTCTTTCTTCCTCCTGCATCGTTTAAAGATCATAAAATAAAAAGCTTTTAAAAGTTCATCATTTAGGATTGACATAAACGTTACAAAGAATAAATTTCACGTCTCGTTATTTATTTATTTTATATAAATAAAATAAATTTAAATGAATCGATAACATTAAATTAAAATCAGGGTTGAGAACTTTGTATTGGAAACAAATGAAGAATCAGTTCAAACTAAATTATTAATCAGAAACTAGAACGAACACATTTCATCATCGTGATAAAATATTTGATACAAAAAAGAAATTCATAAAAACATGTTTTTAATGTTTTCTAAACAATTAAATTCGGTTTAATAGGATTTTTTTTAACGTTACAGTGGACTATTTTATTTCTTAATAAAATATAAACACAATCAGACAAAAGGTTTTATAAACATAACAACACGATGATTCAAAGTGTAAAACAAAGAATAATAAAGAATAATGTTCAGAGGATCACAAGAGGTCATTTATATGCATTTATTGTTTGTTTATATTATTCACCAGCTGTGCACTTTTCATGTATTTGTGTTATTGTTCTATTTCATTATTTTATGTTAAACCTGCATTGTTGTTTGTAAATTTGTTCAATAAAGTTTTTTTACCAAAAGTGGACCCCGAACGCACCAAAATGGCCGCTCCGTGCAAACACACAACTTCTCTGTGAAAGTTTAAATGAGCGCAAGGACAAACAGGGCGGAAGCGTTCCGGTCCGCACGCGGAGGAGGAGGAGCACGTGCACTTACCGAACACTGGAGCGCTCCCCGCTGATCCCGGTGGAGGAGGAGGTTACGGTGAAGTAACGTGACGAGGAACCGGTAGCCTCTCACGAGACGATGCTAACGTTCTAAACACCGGAAGCACACCGCGAGGAGGACGCGTTCAGGGACGCATCGGAAACTACGCTTTTACAGACGACGGCTCAGAGTTTCTATTTGACAGTTTTTAGATATTTTGTAAAGCACTTTGTAGCATTGTTAAGAAAAATGAAATACGTAAATGAAGTGTTAATGTTGTTATGTTCTAAATGGTTTAGAGGTTGCTGTGTTATTACTTGTGAGAAAGATAAAAACATGTTTCCGCCCGGTCTCGAACCGGGGACCTGAACTATCGGGACCGAAGATAGTAAGGCTTAAGTCTCTTAACTTTCTCCATTCATTCTCTATGGTGGTTCTTATCACTACGGGTATCATATATATTTGGCCACAAGCGTGATTTTGGCGGCGCTGTTTCTCACCTTCCATATCAGTGAGACCCTGTTCCCCCTTTGAGTGACAGACGTCCCATCACGGGAAGCAGTACATGAAGCTTCTCCAGTAGCTACACCAGACAGGTTTGGCTAGCTGGATGACGTCATGCTAATAACTCATTCAGCTTTTTAAAACAACGGGACAGATCCAGCACGGACAGTTAGGGAGTGAGGGACATGAAGCACCTGCTGAGACATGATGTATAGTTATAAATACATCATTATATATGTGTGTGTGTGTTTTATATTATAGTGAATATTATATGATATATATATATATATATTATATGATATATACATTATTATATTATAGTGAATATTATATGATATATATATATATATTATATGATATATACATTATCATATTATAGTGAATATTATATGATATATATATATTATACTGAGACTATGATAAGATGTCCTGACGTGTTTATCAAAGTGTTATTTTCTGCTTTGTTTCATGTTGGAATAAAGGTTAAATATTTAATAGTAAAGTATTAATACGTGTTTGATACCTTAATGTTTCTGCATTAAATCATTCTGGGATGTTTGCTGACATTGATTGATGAGGCTCAGCCCTACAGAGAACATGTTCCACCAGCTCCACTGAGTACTGACTACATTAGTAGTAGAGTACTGCATCATGAAGTTAAACCCAAAATTGTCCTGTCCGACCTGCCGTCCCTGTCCGTCTGGTTACTACGTCACAGCTCGACACACACACACACACACACCCACCCACCCACCCCCCCCGGGCGACCCGTCAGCAGAGGGTTCGGCCAGCAGGAAGCTCTTTATTTGGGCGTCAGGACATCCGCTGCAGTGACAGGAAACACCATAGTTGGGCTGTTGTTCTTCCTGAAGAGAGCTGCTGGTGACAAAGTCTGATCCTATTGGCTGAGACACACACACACACACACACACACACACACACACACACACACACACA